AAAGTCCAGAATTTATAGAACTTGTCTGAGCTATCAAAAAAAGGTGCAGTTAGTTGAAACTATACACTGCAGAGCTTAGCGAGGAGAGCTCTGAGAGCTGATTGGAGGGGAGGGATACCCCCCCCCTTCACACAGGAACAAAGTTAGGCTGTCAATCTGCTGGAGCTCCCTCCCCTGCCACCATTTTTCTCTTGGTGTCAGGAAAACATGTCAGAAGTGGTTCATACTGATAGCAGAGGAATGAGGCAGCAGACAGAACTGACACTTAGTGTGCTGGACTAAGACAAGTACACACTATAGAGGGATATGCTTTGTTCATATTTCATGGTTTACAACCACTTTAAAATGTAGAGGGGAGAAGTGTAATTGCACATTTTGTGCCTAGGGAGTGGAAATCACTAGCTATACCTCCAACATATACATGTTTGAGATCAGAGATACTGCTTAGGAAGCACTGCCCTGGCTTCTCTTTGATGAATGAAAGCTGATTAGATGGAGTTTCCAAACCCCCTTGATGCAATGCATCACAGTAGCCTTCTCATTCCGATGGCTTGTGCCCCATACAGAGCAGACATGCCGCACTAGTGTTATCTGGACCTCATGCAGCCCTCTACTTTGCAGTCCTCAATGGTTTAAGCATTGAAATTGAACAAGGCCCTCTCTGATTTCAGTTATATTTCCTTACATAATTTTAAACTGAACATTTCAGGAAATGTTTTATTGCCCCTTACTATGGGATAAAATTTGTAACTTAAAATTTCTACTACAGTGTAATTTACCAAATCAGTAAAATATATTTCTGGAATTGCTTAGCCCCCCAATAAACAATGAGAACAATGTAGACCATTCCTCCCAATGCAGGTCTCTGTCCCAATGACTTTGACATACTTGATGTAGAGGCACAATTACACTGAGATTGTCTACTTTGCCCAGTAGTATCTTTACATGTTTTCCAAGTTGTAACCACTGCTTTGAACTGTCCACTTAAAGCGGTATTAAACCCTAAATAAAAAATGTAATATGTTGCAGATTAGCAATTAGATGTGGTGGCTGCATTAGTTTTAATTTTTTTACTTTCCCCCCTCTGTTTTCACCTGGTGATCTGGCCAGTAACACACCTCATGTATTAGAGTGCCCCCACTCTGAATGAAGGAGCACAGGGGGCACCATTGGACAACAGCATTGTCAGGCTGGGGGGAGGGGAGTGTTAGATGGACTAGCAGATTTAAATACACTAACATATTGAAGCCAAACTTCAGCTAGTACTTTATAGTCAGTTATAGCAAATATGAATGGTGATAAAGGTTTTACATAAATAAAAGCTGATTATTTTAAACATCCCTGTCAGTGTTAAAGTAGTACTAAACCTGGCACTTAAAAAAAAAAAGGGGCACCGTTGGACAGCAGCATTGTCAGGCTGGAGTGAGGGGAATGTTAGATGGACTAGCAGATTTAAATACACTAACAAATTGAAGCCAAACTCCAGCTAGTACTTTATAGTCAGTTACAGCAAACATGAATGGGGATAATAAATAAATAAAAGCTGACCATTTTAAACATCCCTGACAGTGTGAAAGTAGTACTAAACCTGGCACTTAAAAAAAAATTAATAAATACATAAAAATCCCTTGTAAGGCAATGTTATAATGTGCTAGTATGCATCACATACTAACACATTATGTGGCACTTACCTTAAAACAAAGATCTCCTGCAGCGCGCTGTCACCGCTGACAGGGCTTCTATCTTCACCTGATCCTTCTTCCAGGTTTGCGGGCTCTGGCAGGTTGAATGACCAAGCCGCGATGATGTCACTTGTGCACATTTGCACGGCAGTCACTTTTTTCGCCAAACAGCTCTAAAGGAATGGCACGGACATACCTTTAGCGCACATAATGCTTTAAATGGTCTGTCTCATCCCTGTAACTGCAAAAGAGCTTTTCTTTTGAAAAACATCAGACTTACTGGCTGGATCACCAGATTAAATAGAAGAAAGAATGCCTACAAAAGGAAATTAATACAGCCATCATATCTGCAATATAATAAATGTTTATTTAGGGGTTTAATACTGCTTTCATTATTATTATAGAGGATTTATAGAGTACCAACAGTTTGGGCAGCACTTTAATGAGAACATGAATAGAAAACACTGGGATCAGTAAAATATTTTAGCTGTTTCTAATGCCTAAACCTTTTAGATTCACTAATATGCAAACTAGTTGATCTTGTAAACCTTATAACATTTTAGAATAACTTGTTCCTGCCCCTCTGCTTTTAGACCATTGGGAATCGGTGATAGGCATGCTGTGTTTGTGTCTGCCCTTCCCTCCACCATTGACAGTTATGACATGCTGAGAATGAGGGGTGGCCAAACGCACATAGCTCCTAAAGTTTGTGAATTCTTTCACCTGTGCATGACTTCTAGTAGATGGTGTTGTTTAACAGAAAGCCTTGTAGTTTTTTCTGAAATTGCACTTTAATTATGTAGTTTTGCTTTTACTGTATCTCTCTTCTAAAGCTGGCAAATTCTTGTTTTCTCTTTCTTTTCAAATGAAGATTTTCATTAAAAACATCAGGACGTAATTATGTTCGCTTTAATATCAATAGCCTGGTGAGTCTGTAAACATAATTACTTAATAGGGATAATTATAATTGTATTTTTTTTTATTTAGAAAGTAGTGCGCCAAAAGTAAATTAGGAAAAACATATTATTTACATCGCCTATAGCTAATGATTTAATGTTATTGCTTCTCACTTTGCACGTCGAGCAAACAAATTATATAAGTTGCAGAAAATTAAACTCATTTTAGTACCATGCTGGATTCTGCACACTTTTAATTGTTAGTCTTCATTTTGGATGCACCACCAGAAATCAATTAAAATATAAATTCATATTTAAATGTGTTGTTAAAGTACCCATAAAATGGTGTGTGTGTGCGTGTGTGTGTGTAAGGTTAATATGGGGGGACACATTTGCATACAAATCAGTCATTTCTTTTTAATAATCATACCAATGGAGGGAACAAAACAAGAAATCTTTACATAGTCTAAAGACATCTGATAGCCTGGTGTCAAAAACTCATTTAAGAATAATAAGATAGAGTTATTGGCAGGCTGCAGGTGGGATATGATACCACTATATTCCTTAATACCAACACAGAGAAAGTGGTGTCACCCTTCCAGCTGTGCTGACTGGCATAGCATTATAAATCGAAAAATTTACTGGACAGAATTTCAAATCCTATGGCAGAGAAGACAATTCTCAATTGTGTATTTTAGCTGTATGCTTTAGCTATAACTTTGTTAAAGTGTGCATCCGTTAACGGGCTAAAAAAACCAAAAGACTGAAGTTTAAACCTTTTTTTTTGTCCCAAAGCAAAAAAAACTTTTGGCTACAATTTTCACTTTGGTTAATACAGGGATTGTATTATTTTGAATGTACAATGAATACGGCTTCAACTGATCTGGGACTTTCCGTGACATGCATTTAGTAATGCAGTAAGATAAAACCACTGGCACTAGAGATCTTAACTAACAGTGCAAGGATGTCTTGCCAAGCATTCTAGTAGGAATACACAGTCATAGTTATGCAGCATTGATGTGGCTCTAATTTAATTCCCAGCATTGTTGTCAAAGAAATATCTGGTATTAGTAGTAGTAGATAACATTCAACTGGATGTTTCTGTAATGTTGAAGATGTTCTGTAGCTTATCCAAGCCACCTCCTCAGTTCTTTTTCACAATTGAAGAAGTGGCGTAGATAAGCTACAAAAAGTCTTAAACATTACAGGACAAGTCAAGTTGAATGTTACATACTGGGCTTGATTTACTAATACTGGAGAGTGCTAAATCTGGTACAGCTCTGCTTAAAAACCAATCAACTTCCATTTTTTTTTGTCAAAGCTTAATTGAATAAGCTGAAGTTAGAAGCTGATTGGCTACCATGCACAGCTGTACCAGATTTTGCACTCTCCAGTTTTAGTAAATTAACCTCATTGTTCCATATAGCATGACCTGGATAAATGAGTACCTTCAACATCACAGAAATATTTGCTTAGAGAGCTAAAAAATATTGGGTATTAAATTGCACCTTATTTGTCTTCTATTTGCACACAATCCCATTAGATCAGGGGTGTCAAACTGGCAGCCCTCCAGCTGTTGCAAAACTACAAATTCCAACATGCCTCTGCCTTTGGGAGTCATGCTGGTAACTGTCAATCTTGCAATGCCTCATGGGACTTGTAGTTTGGCAACAGCTGGAGGGCCGCCAATTTGACACCTGTGCATTTGATGTATTGAAAAAGAAATTTTGAACAAACAGTTTACCAACCTAACGAGTTCTATTAGCAAAGAGAGGTTGATGTTAAGTGGCAGAAACATATCTTAAATATTTTTCAGAACATTATCATAGAACTCTAACATAGTCACTGTTGATCAGACATGAAAAATTTCCATCAAAAAGTTCCAGTGAACAAGCTCTAAAAAAAAAGCCTGATGTGAACAGGGTCTCTTAAAATGCATGTGTTTAAAATTAGGTTATTTCTTTAACATTCTAAATAAAGGACACAAATTCTGATTGATGCATAGGGTAGAAAAAAAACGCTGCCTGGTTGTGGTAGCATTTTTTTAATTGAATTGCATTGCAGTGACAAATGTTGATAAAAGGCATGGATGTTCAGCCTGTGGCCATCCATCTGTTGCGGAACTACAAATCCCATGAGGCATTGCAAGGCTGACAGGTACAAGCATGACTCCCAAAGGCAGAGGCATGATGGGACTTGTAGTTCCACAACTGCTAGAGGGCCACAGGTTGAGCACCCATGGTATAAGGGATCAGCAACTTGATACTACTTCAACTAGATATCATTTAAAAATTTCTCAGAACCCCGGTATGCAATTTCTTGCCTTCATTTCTTGAAAACAAATGTACAAAATGAATAAAACTATGTTGCCCAGTATTAATAAATACAGTTTTCATGAAGTTTTATTTTCTGTTTTATTTAGGACTAACTCCACCAACAACACCACCTCACAAAGCCAACCAAGATAACCCATTCAGGACTTCTCCCAAGCTGAAGTCTTCTTGCAAGCCTGTTGTGCCCCCGGCTAAAAAATCTCGCTACATTGAGTCTTCCACTATTCAAGTTATTAATACTAAAAAAAGGTCCCGAACAATCTGAACTGTATGCACAGCTGAGCAAAACCTCCGTGGTCATTGGACAAGAGGAGAAAAAAGTGAAGCGACCTAGTTTACGACTTTTTGGTGATCATGACTACTGTCAATTTATGAATTCAAAATCAGAAATACGTATAAGCTTAACACAAGATTTACAGGCCTCAAGACAACTTGAATGTAAGAATTCGCTGCCTGGGAAAAAATTACAGGTCTGTTCATTTAAAGAACATGAGGAGAGCCTGAAAGACAGTTTTGAGGTGGCAATGCCAAGTCCTCAGAATGGCAATAGGAAGCCACTTCAAGACCAAGAGATCCGTGCAGAACTCAATAAGCACTTTGGTGACCCAACACAAGCAGTCTATGAGGAAGAGAACAAAAATGGTGATGCAAGGAGCAATGATTACTGTGATGATCAATTCTCTAGACTACCTATGTTTTTAACCTCTGGACTGGGTATGGATAATTTGTTTGATGAAAGCGAAGATGAAAATGACAAACTGTGCTATTCCTGGGATGGAATACAATCCTATTCATTATTTGATGTATCACCTTCCTGCTCAACTTTCAATTCTCCAAGCAGATATTCCGTTTCCCCACCAACATCCCTTTTTTCTCAAAGGATATGTTCTCGGTCGAGATCTAGATCTTATTCTCAAATCCGATCATGTTCTCAGTCTCCATATTCACGTTCAAGATCAAGATCTCCATCCAGCAGATCTTCTTCAGGGTAGGTAAAATTAGAGCTTTTATTTCTGGTTTCTGCATGAAAAAAAGGCCTCCATTTCTCACCTCCTTTTAAGAATGCTAATTTCCTGTCATACTTTTGGTTTCAGTGCTTTCTTAGTAGCTGACCCTGAATAAGTATAGCGATAAGGAGTTTTACATTTTTCTGACAATCATTTATGGCATGCTAATTTGGGTCCGTGACTCAAAAACATTTAGGTCAGACACAGCCAGGCAGGTAGAATTTTCTTTAGGAAAATAAATAACATCCCCAATACTTCCTTTGTGACATGGTCACGTCAAGAAACCCATTGTTTTGGCCATGCAAGACAAAGAAGCAGGTTCAGTTTATTTTAACCATTTTATATTTATCGTCTTATTGCTCCCTTGCCATGCCATTTGGCCAGAGGGAGCAAAGAATACCTTACTTAAGGGTATTGGGAGCATATGACTGCCCCCCCCCCCCATGCTCCCATGTGACAGCCTGCTTGGATGATCCAGAAGCCAGAACTTTCAAACGAGAGTTGTCAACCCAGTTTAGGTTCTATATCAGTCATAGGGAGCAGTGGGAAAGTAAAAGGAAGGTGAGTATAAGTTGCTAGTGGGACCGCCATTAAAAGGAACCTGTTTGACTCTGTGGCAAAAAACAGGTTACTTATAAATCTGTTAAAATATAATTGGATAAATATACATTTACTCCTCAGAATTATGGTCAAAACTGTCTAAAAGTGGACCTATCATTAAAGTTTAGAATAAAAGGCATAAAAGTGAGCGCCATGGGTGAGCTGCTTTAACACCGAAAGGCACCAATAACCTCCTAAGACAAAATCATATAATAAGGTGCAGTGCTAAAATGATGTAAATCTCAATATAATAAAGTGCAATACAATGATGGAAAACGATCTTAATATCATATAAAGTGCAAGTAGTGCTTAAGTCAAGTGACAATTCAATCAGCAAGGCAAATGCATAAAGTGACTACAGTGTAAATGCACATCCATCAAAGTGCAAATAGTGCTTATAGGGTGATAAAGTCCATATATCAATCACTGAATAAATGTGAAGCTTCAAATATAAGTGATCCTTAGTGAGTCTTCTGGTGATAAAATAAATAGCAGAATTACGCACACACCAGATGCGTAATACCATCACGCATTTCAGAATAATTATATCTCAGTGGGTCAGCTGGATCATCATATGGACACCTCTACCCTGTATGGACTCCCCTCTGGGCCATCAATGGATGCCTCCCTTTAGGCATCCTTTCTTGGGGCTCTTGATGAGCCTCACCACCCACAGAGCGTACTGCAGGAAGAGGTGAAAGGTACTGCATCCCATTGATGGCCCAGAGGGGAGTCCATAATAGGTGATCCATATGGTGATCCAGCTGACCCACTGAGATATGATTATTCTCAAATGCGTGATGGTATTACGCTCTGGTGAGTACGTAATTCTACTATTTATTTTATCACCAGAAGACTCACTAAGGATCACTTATATTTGAAGCGTCACCTTTATTCAGTGATTGATATATGGACTTTATCACCTTATAAGCACTATTTGCACTTTGATGGATGTGCATTTACACTGTAGTCATTTTATGCATTTGCCTTGCTGATTGAATTGTCACTTGAATTAAGCACTACTTGCACTTTATATGATATTAAGATCGTTTTCCATCATTGTATTGCACTTTATTATATTGAGATTTACATCATTTTAGCGCTGCACCTTATATTATCATTAAAGTTTACACATTACTTACATCACTACATATATTACAGAGACTGGAAAAGAAGGAGACTGAACTATGCCGTATCCTCTTCTAGTCTACTTGGTGATAAAATCATTATAAAAATGTTTGATAAACAAAATAAAAAAGGACGTTTTTTTGTTACAACTGCACAATACGTCCTATAAGTAAATTGATGCAATGATAAAGAGCAGTGAGGTTGGGGACCCCATTCATAAAATACGCAAATTGCATATTTCAGTTACTCTTTGGCCAGATTTTAGGAAAGGAATAGACTGTGCTATGCTGGACTATGAACTCCTCTTGTAGTTTTCTTTGTGATAAAATAATTATTAGTCATGATAAATAAAATGAAAAACATATTTTGCAGCTGAAATATGACTGCTGGCCATTTCAGTAACATGCCTTGCACTTCTGAAGGGGTTGGAAGACGCCTTCCCAATTTCAAATGTAAAAAAAAGTAAAGCTACATTGACTGAAAATTCCAGTAGCTTGTAAATCTGGAATTTAGATTCGTCTTTATTCTTTTTTTTTTCATTACTTTCACTTTACCAGAGTTTGCAGAAAAATCACTTTGAAGGTGTAAATTCCATTTTTTTGATGAATAACCTTAAAAATTCTTAATCAAAGTGAAGTGAAATTTCAGTTAAGTACAGTAAAGTGAAAATGCTTTTTCCATTATGCTTAATAATATATTCCCCAAAGCCCGTCTTTAATTCATTCTGTACTCCATCCAGCTGTAGTAGTGTGTTTATCATTAGAATGAAATCAGTAGTAAATGTTATCTCACGGAATACACCTGAGGAGGCTGCACACAGTTTTCAGATTAAGGCAAAATGTAATAAAGCTTGCTATGGTGGGAAGACAAGGCAGAACCTCCAGCTAGTAGACTCATTTATGGGATCCATGGAATTAATCCAAACCTGTGTGTTTACTCCTTAACATTTTATTTTCATTGTCAGATAGAAGTATCCCTTAGCCTTATCGCTGCCAGAAGCTTTTTTGCATTTTTTGCACACATGTTTAAGAAAATCATTTTAGGCCTAAAGATTGCATAAACCCCCAAACCATTATATATTTTCTGAAAGCAGACACCATAGAGAATAAAATTATGGTAGTATTTTTTTAGGTCACACAATATGACCGCACATTAAAATTAATTTTATGGCACACAAATGCAGTAAATTGCACCATTTTTTTGTAAAATATAAAAGATGAGGTTGTACCAAGTAAATAGATACCCAACATGTAAAACCGTAAATTTGAATGCGCCCATGAAATCGCGACAAACTTCAGTACCCTATATTTTCCATAGGCGACGCATTAAAAGTCCCTTATAGGTCATCAGTTTGGCGTTATGGGGGAGATCTGATGTTAGGAATATTGCTCTCACTCCAGCGTGCACGGCAATATGTAATATATGTATTGCAATTGATGCTTACATGTGTAGGAGCCTGACAAATGCTTTACATTCGTACATGTGTATATGTAAACATTTTTGGCTGGGATTGTATCTACTTGGGTGTACCTTAAATGTTTTACAATTTTAGAGAAAAAAAAGAAAAAATTCCATCAGAGGACAAAAAGTCCCCTATGTGATGATTTTTTGGTGAAAAGTTCTCCAATTTTTCAAAAATATGTTGCGCTGAATATATACACATAAAATCATACATAGTGCATAAATTAAGCATCATATGAATTGGGTCTATTAAAAAGCCATATTTAAATGTGACAAATAAATCAAATAAATTCATGAATAAAATCTTGCAAGATTAGATGTCTTCTTAAATCAATGCAGTGAACAGTGTATAGACCACCATCAAACAGAGCCCCTTACCGGAAACACAGAGCCTAGATAGGAGGTCTGCCAAGGCATGACGTTGTGTATATTCCAATACATATTTCACTCCAAAGATGTTCAGGGGTTACGATCTCCTTTCCTTGATCTTTATTGGCTCAGAACATGAAAGAGAATCTCCATAGTGAACTTATATTTGAATGCTTTATTAAAAAATCCAGGATTCTGCTTACAAAATGCTGAAAAACACTTGCATGTATGAACGCCGCTGGTGCCGGCTTCAGCAGGCAGGGATGATGTCAGCATGGAATCCTGCTCCGTGCTGGTGCGTGGAAGCAATCAGGCGACAGCGTAGCTGCTAGAATGCTTCTCTCTGATAGGCAAAAGACTGCTTGTCAGATGTACACACAATCCTGGTGGCTGCAACATGTGTAAAATCCCCCACTGTCAAATTCGTACTACATATGGATCTGGCAGTGAATTGGTTAAAGCGACTCTGTGGATAAAATATTACTCTACAGTTAAGTGGCCCCTGCATAGAAGGCATGGAATACTTACATTTCCTGCTGCTTGCACTGCCAGTGTCTGTAGTAGCAAAAAGAAAGAGCTGGTTCCTGCTTGCAACAGGCAACAGAGTTTACATACGGTCCAGCTGATCAAACCACTAAGTGGGGGGGACCAGGAATCTGACACTCCTGGAAGTGTCAGATTCAGCCAGCAATTTCTTTCTCACTACTGCAGAGATAAGTAGAGCAGGCAGCAGGAGAGAGTGAGCATTCAATACCTAGCAGGATTTTGCACTTATTGAACAGATATAACATGATTTTTAATTTTATTTTTAAAGCTCAGCTCAGGGAAATTTAAAAGTTATCCTTTGCAGTAGGGTAGCTCCTTCACTGCAAGGGTTAATTGATTGTTTATGTCTAGAGGGCTTGTTAAGGATGATTTACTTACCCATTCCTCTGCGCTGCTAGACCTGTCTTTGCATCATCTTCTCCATGACGCTCCAGTGGTCTAAGGCCCTGACATCATCAACACCAAAGTAGGGTCCATAGCTCTGCATGGGGCAGGTTGATGCTGAGGGGTAGTCCATTGTTGGAGCACGGGGGAGCACCATCTGCCATAGCCTGGTGGATTCGGTAAGTTAAAGCGCTTCACCTCTCCGCTAGACTAAACAAGAAATTAAGCCTTGCAGTGTGGGTGCAGTCCCACTGCAAGGGATCATTTTCAAGTTTCCCAGAGCTGAATATTAACAGGTCAAAATGGAGCAAGTTAGAGACATTTTTTGTTTAGATCTACATACACTTTAAATGCATTTTGTTCACATGGCATCTGTTTTGTTGTTATAAGAATGACACCTAATGCACACAGGCTTATAAAAATAAGCAGCATTTTTTAATACAAGTATTTGGTAGAAAAAAATTCCTGCTAATATTACATATGTGTGCATTTTCCTGAGCGTATGTACGTGCATTTATGCACATGTTTGAATGTAAACGCATTCTGCTGTCGAGGATATCAATTTATGCACAACTAGATGTGTTACGTACATACGTGCATTTTTTCTGCTCAAAAGCTCCTCTCGGAATGTACCTTTGGTGGGTCTTTTTTTCTGCCTGTAAACGCTCCTCTTGTAATATGCCTGCAAACGCCAATATGTGCATGGCCACATAGGCTAGCATAGAGGTGCTTTTATAGGCATTAAAAAAAATGCTGTTCACCTGTATAAGCGGTGATTTTTAAGCTCAGTGTGCATACGGTAGTAGGTAATGACAGAATTTCTTCTACACAGATTCTGGTACACTGCTCATGGAATTACACACTGACTTGTTACATAAGCCCATACTTGACTCTCCAGGATACTTGAATTTGGATAGCATACATAATGCAAAGAAGCTTTGCCTATCAATGCAGCATTCATCATGGAGATGTGTGAGGTTATCTATCATAATCTCTGATTTTCTCCACCAACCCTGAAGTAGCAGGGGGCTTTATTTATTGAGCTTTAATTATTAACCCTTTGAATGCCTGTGTGCCTAAGATGCATTGCCTTCAGCACTGTGTCAGTTATTGTTATAAATTGCCCCAACAGTGTTTGGAAAAGCCTAAGAATGTGACTGAAGCAGTAAATGGAATGCACATGGGCTCTGAATTAAAATGGAAATGATAACAGAAACAATGCATTCTGTTTAAGCAGTCAATGGTATTGATGTCGGACATACTTTACCCAACGTATGCGCAAAAATGTAGAAGTGCTGAGCAACAAAATAACCATGGTCCTCCAGAGCAGAACACGTCATGCTTATCTCCAAGAACCTGTACAGGCTGTGGTCACTGAATAGACTTTAGCTCCATGCACACTAACGGTTTTTTTAAACTCAAAAAACATTGGTAATAGCAGTTTTTGATAGCGTTTTAATAGCACTCAGAAGCATTTAGGGGCGTTAGCATTTCACTAATGTTTTAGAGGGGAAAAAAAAGCTGTTAGGAGCTTTTTCATAGTGTTTAGGAGCGTTTAGCGTTTTTTTTTTCCTGCTGGAAATATGCTCCAAAAAACTCTCCAAAAACAATTTTTTTTTCTGCTCCTAGGCTCTGAAGGTCACAAAATGCAAATAGCCTAAAGTATTGAGCATGGACAGCTTCTAGGAGCTTAAAAAAAAGCTTATGTGCATGGAGCCTAAAGCTGATGTTTAGTCGTTTAGTCTGCTTATTGTGCACTCCCCTGGTCTGTGCTTTCCCTCCTCATCAACATTCTAATTTTAATAAAACTTTTCTGTTTTCGTGACATACCTTATTTTAGACTGAGTGATGTCATCACTGGGTGTCTGTGCTTTTCTAAGCAATGCAAACAGATCATGGTTGGTGGGAGGGGCCTGAAAGGTGCTGTACAGTGCAAAAACCATCACAGCACCAATATCAAGAGCCTTTAGTGATGATGCAAACAGTGGGCTAGGTGTCTGTGCTTCTCTAAACAATGAAGGATGATCACAGTTGGCAAATATTAAAATCCCTTGGTGGGTCAGTGTCAGTCTGGAGGAGGGGGTATTCCTAGGCAGACTTCATTTACATGCAGATTGACCTAGATCAGTGTTTCTCAAACTTTTTTCAGTCAAGGCACCCTTTAAAATTATGGACAGTCCCGAGGCACCCTTTAAAATTATGGACAGTCTTGAGCCACCCCATTCTAAAATGGGGTGCCTCTAGACTGTTCATAATTTTGAAAGGGCATCTCATTCCAAAAAACTATTCTATTAGTATTATATAACACAGCAACATCCACACATGTAGGACACCCAACATTAGAGGTGATTTATTATTCCAAAGCAAATACACTTTTGCACACTGGTACTGGCTAGTATTCCATTGTTTCTCTTCTCCCTCAGTTTTTCTCCATCACTGAGCTAATGTGACCCCAGCACTGATGGAGAGGGGCAGGAGAGGGTCAAACTAGGATATTGTGACATCCTCCTTATCAACTTATGATATCATTGGTTGTCAGGAATCCGGCAGCTAGAAGGTTGTAATGTTGCACAATGAAAACCTGTGGCTTTGTGTAACTAAAAAGGCAGGCTTGTTCCACCCATTGGCTTGTATACAAGTTTTGGGCAAATTTTAGACATTTTTCCAAGGCACCCCTGAAGTAACCTCAAGGCACCCCGGGGTGCCTGGGCACCCTGGTTGAGAAAGGCTGACCTAGATAACACCTACTTGAAATGCTGTGCCTCCATGATTGACAGAATTGAAATCCAATAAACAAAAGGGGCAGACCAGGGACAGTCAGACTGTGAAGGAAAGTCCTAAATGATGCTGAATGTCCTCTTTCCAAGAATGGGCTGTATCTGACTTTTTGCAGCATCTAGTGCACATTGTGAGAAGCTCACAGAGTGCAGTGAAATCAGAGCAAAGAGTTTCAGTAAACTAGAGGAACCTGTACAACTGAAGTGAAGGCTGGAGTTCAGTTTGATTAAATACTGTTATTTATCTAAGCAGGATTGCTAATTATTTTCTTAAAGTATAACTGAAGGCAAAACTTTTTTTTTTTTAGTTTTGGATAGACTGGAGAGGCATTAGAACCCCTGTTAGTTTGTATTGTTGCCTGTGACCCCGTTAAGGAGATTCACCCTCTCGATTTGTCCTGTTTACCATTATCATTGAAAATGAAAGTAAAAGAAAATCCCAAATTTTGGGTTGTCCCCAGAAAAGTAATAGAGGGAAATTTTCCAATGTCATTTATGGTGACCTGGGGATCCCCAAGGAATCCCCTTAATTTCCAGGGATTTCCTCTCACTTCCTGTTTGGCTATGAGACAGGAAGTGAAGGGAAAGCTCTGGAATGAGACCCAGATGGCAAAAGAAATCTGACAGGGGTTATAATCCTCCTTTGCTGTATTCAAAATGAAAATAAAAATTTTGCCTAGAATTCTACTTTAAGTACTGAAACACCAACTCATCACTAGAGTTCTTAGAAAAAAAAAAGAGGAAAAGGGCTGCAGCTTGTTAAATAGCCCAACTCCAGATGTTTTATTTAATTTTAGATTGATCAGGGAAGGTTTAAAGCTACTGTCGTGTTTTATTGCCATCTATATCAATATTAGTTAGATTTCCCTTGACTTCTTGTAAAGAGAGAAAAGAATGAGAAAATCTGATCAGTGAGGACACAGACATAAACAAGCACACATTTTTTTGTTGAGTGGGGAAGGGTTAGAACTTCTGACTTTGTGTGTTATTGCCCTCTTTTTCTTCCTAGCCTGGTGAAAATGATTCCACTCGTTCATCTAGGGGTGTCAAAGGGACATAAAGTGAGGGGAGATCTTCCCAATGGGGTCTAAGAGAGAAACAGAACCCTAACAGAAATGTTAACTTCTCCTTGCCCTATCCAAAATACAGTTTTGTAACTGTCATTGCAGCTAACTCATTGTTGTGGAATATGTTTGAGCGATACTCATAATAACATTCAACAGTGTAAGTGGTAATCAGACACATTAAATGTTTTAGGGTGGTATGACAACTTATCTGTTTGACTGTCATGGTCAGGGGTCAGGCTCGGAGACCAGTAGCTATACCAGTAGGGAGGCTCCCAACAACCAGCTGGATAAGTACAGAAGCAGATCACCCTGGTGGATAATGTGGGCTTACCTGAGGCGCGAGGTCCAAGCATTATGGGTTTTGCTGAATTTTAGTACCAGGTCATGATCCTCAGGATCATCCCACCAGGAGGTGAGCAAGCCAGAATCCAGTAGCATATATAGCAGGTAGGGATCAAACAGAAGTGTAGTCTTTAAACAAGCTAAAAGTCAGTAATAAGTGGTTGCAGGTTGGGATCAAGTGGAAATATATTTAAGGAATAATTCAAATGTTGATATCGAATGGCTTCAGGTTGGAATTAGGTGGAAGTATAGTTGAGGAACAAGCCAAGAGTCAATAAGAAGTGGTAGTGGAGATAAGGACAGCTTCAGGTACGCAAAGGAGCAATATCAGCTGGGGAGAGCACAATAATCTGGCAAACAGGAATTATAAAGCATGCTTAAATAGGAGGTTCATAGGAGGAGCAAAGAGTGTAAGGTTCACCAGAAACAAGGTGCAAGGCAAGATTATCAAAGGAATCAGACAGGATGCTGTTGAGTATCTCAGATGGCTTAGCAAGAAGAGCTAGAGCTGGACACAGCAGAGGTTGCAGTTTCAGATCCCGGTCCTGACATTGACTTGTGGAATTTTCAGATTCAGTTTCATTGTGAGGTTAGGAAAATTGTAAGAAAAACAGAATTGCAAAAAGCCATAAAATCTATTCATCTACTTAAAAGTAGCTTGTAATATTGATGGTGTCTTTGACCACAATGTAGCCATGCTTTCCCGAATTATAAGACCTAATGGGCACTAATATTTCAACAAACCCTTAAATACTGCATTTGTGCTAAAACGTGAAACTCTGTGTGACCTACTGATATTCTGTTTATTCTTCTTCACAAAAGGTCATGCTGCTGCTATGAAACTGATCATTGTAGACCCAACAGTTCTCCAGTCTGTGCACGATCACGGTCAAGGTCACCTTACAGTCGTAGGCCCAGGTAGGAAATACCCTGCCCTTCTATTTCGATATTCTTTACAACCCTAGTACCATAAAATGCCCGATGAGATCCTGGTCATTGAGCATAGTGATGCATGGTGTCTAATGGTGATCACTATCCATGAACTGAAAGGAACTGTGGAATGCATCTTCTTCTTAATTTTCAGCACTTTTTTAGCTGATCATTACAGAAAATAAAGACAGACAATCAGTTAAGCCTTGCCATACAAAGACATCTTTACAAATAGCACAGTTATTTTCTTACTGTCTGTGTCCCTACTGCAGAGATTCACCCTCTCTTATTGTCCTGCTTACCACTGTCACAAGTAGAGACACCTCTTCTGGTGACAGCTGTCAAAGAGAGGATTTCCTTCACTCTGGATTTCCATTAACTTTCAGTTGTGCGTACAGGAAATGGCGTAAAGTGATTTTAAACTAATAAACGAATGCAGTGATAGATTTCTACTCTTAATGTTGTTCATGTTGTTTTAACCATTACCCATTCTATGCAAAAAAATAAGTTTTTGGTTTGAATATACCTAATCAAAATAATGAAGTTCATCCTCAATATATTTTCTGAAAAACCACCTTTTCTGTGGAGAAAAACACTTACTAAAATAATGTCCCCAATGCAATGGTCTGTGAATGTAAATGGTAATTAAAATTGTTCATCTTTGTATGACTATTCCTCCACCTAGCTGAGCAGTTCTGAATCAGGGAAAATAAGTATGCTTCCAAAATGCAATAGGAGCTCCACCTGGTCCACTTTTGGCTTAAAAAAAAAAAAAGCATCATATAGAGAAATAACTTTTACAGTGTCAGGTGCTGGACTCTAAATTAATTGTTCTTTCATTGCAAGAAAATAAAGAAATAAAAGTGATGATTTGTTGTATTTAGTGGTTAACTTGAAGTGTTACAATACAGATACGACAGTTATGAGGAATACCAACATGAGCGGCTGAAGAGGGAGGAGTACCGCAAGGAGTATGAGAAGCGTGAATCAGAGCGAGCCAAACAAAGGGAGCGGCAAAGGCAAAAAGCAGTTGTAAGTAAATTATCAAACTTATCTCTAATCTTATATATGTTTACATTATTAACCTGATATATTAGCCTTTTTTAATTTTGTATCTGCACCCATGCATGCTTTATGTTTACTGACATATACTTTACCATTAAGATCAACATCACAACCATTGGTCCTTCCCCTCATGCCAGGGTGCTCGGCGTAATCCTAGACTCTGACCTCTCCTTTGGGCCCCACATCCACTCACTAGCTAAATCCTGCCGCCTCAACCTCCGGAACATTTCCAAAATCTGATAACCTTTCATGGCTTCCAATACCACCTCTATGCTGATGACACCCAGATCTATCTCTCCACTCCCCAGCTCACCCCCTCAATCTCCTCACGTATCACAAATCTACTAAGCGACATATCAGCATGGATGTCGCATCACTACCTTAAACTCAATCTTTCAAAAACAGAGCTTGTAATATTTCTTCCTCCCGATCCCCCACTCACGACTTTACCATTAAGATCAACAGCACAACCATTGGTCCTTCCCCTCATGCCAGGGTGCTAGGCGTAATCCTAGACTCTGACCTCTCCTTTGGGCCCCACATCCAATCACTGGCTAAATCTTGCCGCCTCAACCTCCGGAACATTTCCAAAATCCGCCCCTTCCTGACCAATGACACCACAAAACAACTTTTTCACGCCTTGTTGTTATATCCCGCCTCAATTACTGCAACTCCCTCCTCACTGGTCTACCGTTACACAGGCTATCCCTCCTTCAGTCTATTATGAATGCTGCTGCTAGACTCATACACCTTACCAACCGATCAGCGACTGCTGCCCCTCTCTGCCAATCCCTTCATTGGCTTCCACTAACCCAATGTATAAAATTCAAAATACTAACCACAGCTTACAAAGTCATCCACAACACTGCCCCTAGCTACATCACCAACCTTATCCACAGATACTGCCCAAATTGCCCACTCCGCTCCTCCCATGATATCCTCCTCTCTAGCTCCCTCAGCACTTCCTCCCACGCTCGTCTCCAGGACTTATTTAGAGCCTCTCCCATCCTCTGGAACTCCCTACCACAGCATGTCGGGTCAGCCCCCACCCTGTCTGCCTTTAGGCGATCTTTGAAATCTCACTTCTTCAGGAAGCTTACCCCACCTCCACCTAAGAACTGTAGTTGAATCACCTCCGCCAGATCATCCCACGCAGCTATCACCTTTTGTATCACCTCCCCTTCCTTTAGATTGTAAGCTCCACGAGCAGGGCTCTCATATTCCTTCTGTACTGAAATGTATTGTAATTGTACTGTCTCCCTTATATTGTAAAGCGCTGCGCAAACTGTTGGTACTATATAAATCCTGTATAATAATAATAATAATAATAATAGCCAAAGTTCATGATGGCGTAGGTTATAAAGTGACAAATAAATTCAGTGCACAAATAAACAAAAGATTCAGGCATGGCAGCAGGCAAACTGAACCATTAATAGAACCATTAGAGTACTCTTTGGCACCATATTCTTTACTTTTGTGTTTTGTTTTTTTATAGCACACAAATAACCCAGAGGGCGTTTGTTCCAGAATGCTAAAATAGTTTCATGAATCACGGTTTTAAAGTGTATCTAAACCTAAAAGCAAAAAATGAATATATGAATGTACGGACAGCCAGGTTCACACTGGCAGGAAGAATCAATGAACTACCACAGCATACACCAGCGCCATAGTAATTCATTGAGAACTACAAGCCGAAATCCGCAAAGGATGTCCGTGCATGTAGTTGATTAATTGACAAAACTTTGAGTATGAATGATGCGGCCTTGTGGATGGAACCCTGTGCTCTTTTCAAAAAGTGACATCTGATACAGGGAACTTCTGCCTGTGCTTCTGTCACACAGAGGGCTCAGAACGCTGAGCTGCTGCAGGTGCGTGAACATGTTTCATGTTCCACCCTAAAAAATAGTAACATGTTCCTGAAGGTGAATTTATCCTTCAAGTATTCTGGGACTACGGGGAAAAAAATTAGCTGTCTTCTGAAAACATTTCTCTGTTTCAACACCATCAGTTGAAGCAGGAGTCTCCAAACTTTCTATACAAAGAACCAATTTACCGTCCTTCAGATTTTAGCGGGGTCGGACTTTGGACATGGAGTAGAAAATGCTCCGGCATCAGTGGGAGCAAACAATGTCATTGGGAGGAATCATGCCACATCGTTGATGTCATTGGAAGGAATTGTGCCCCATCATTGGTGTCATTGGTTCCCATTGTTGGTATCATTGGCAGGAACTCTGCCTCGTTGTTGGCATCATTGGTGTCATTGGGAAGAATTGTGCCCCTTCATTCAGTGGATGATATGGTGCTACAAGAGCCAGATAAAAGCAAGCAAAGGGACAATTAACTGCATTTACGCCCAAGTGCTTGACACCTGTAAACGTGCCTAAATGCTTGTAAAAGCATTGGATACTTTTACAAGCATCAGGCGTTTTTTAAGCAAAAACGCTGCTACCAGTTGCAAGGCTTCTAAGAGATTTTTTTACGTCCTGTGTGCATGAGGACTAAAGCTCCTTGTACAATATCAATAGAACTTAAGAATTGTCTGCCTGGGTCTCTAACTGGGTGTCAATGAAATTCATGTATCTTTAGGCGCCCTCGTCTTATTCTTACGGTCAGTTAAATTATCTTTAGTTGACCACAGATTTGCTTTAAATTTCTTCAGCTTATTATGTAAACCCATTTGAAATTTATGTTTACTAGTCTTCATTGTTATTGTTGTCTGAGATCACAAAATGGTTAAAATATAGCATCCCATTGTGCATGTGTTTAATGTGAATACACGGATAAACGCCGACTGAATATAAACAACATTATTGCTCCTGAATACTAAAGCAGAACTCAGTGAAGCCGAAGAGCGCTTCATTCAGTATGCTGCTAAGTCCACACACTGCTCAGAGGTTCAAGGCCAGAGAGGGTGACATATGTGTCTGAGCAGGTGCTGAAGGACAGTGCTATAAAACATATGCATGGTATAGATTTCCATGAGTTGCTTCGTAGTGATGGCTTCATAACTCACCCAGGGTCAATACAGATAAATCACTAGCTTGCTGTTTATTACAGAGAAGGTTGTAGGTAGCAGTGAGGTCACCGAGTGTCAGTTCAGGCAAATGGCTAAGAATTTTATCAGTGGCTCTGATGTATGTTATTATTATCTTCTAAACTACGGTGGACTCACTATTTGAAAGCCGGATAAATGCAATATAAAAGGTGTTCATATAGCTAGTAGAACATAGCAGTTGAATAAAAGGAGCAAAATAAGTATCATAGGTACTATCAGGGTCCTAAGAGCAAGAAAAGAGGTGTGCTATCAGTGTGCTAGATGACATGATCTCCTGTGCCAAAATGACTTCATAATGACTACGGCTACAGCTCCACAGGCAATTTTTAATCTCGCAACTGCACGACTAAAATCTCATGGAATCGATTGCTGCAGAGTTTGCATCACATTAGCTTTTACGAGAGCTCCTACACAAGAGATATGCAATTACACAGTTGGGCAATCGATGAATCACAATCGCACAGTGCATGTCTTATCAAAGAATCTTATTAACCTATTAATCTCCTCCATAGACTCCATAGGCAGTTGAAGGCTTTTCAGTCAACAAGATTCTTGAGTGATTTTTCCTCTTTTAAGTATACCTCTGAGATAGGACTAGTCTCTATGCAATTTTCTTCAGTGACGTATAGTAGGGAGATTTTTAGAGTCACTGAAATTAGATATCACCCACGTAAGTCAAGCCTATTGATGGCCTTATATGGCAATGTTCTAACACTTTCCATCACTTACCAGTTTGTGGTTGGTTATAATGAATGGCACCGCAATGTGGCTCAAGTGTTAACGAGCATAACACGTGGTAAAACAATGTTTATCGCAATGCATAAATGGGCCCTAAGAGTTTAACACAAAGAGCAGTGGTGTGCAATAAAGAGTAGCAACCAAACACAGATCAGCTTTTAGTAGTAAGTCTAGGCTTGTCTCATAAAAACAGTAATGCTCTTTGTATTGTAATGTTAAATGAGACCATATAGCTTCTATTCATAAACTGCAAAGGGATCTAAATCAGTCTTCATTTATATTTTATAGCTTTTCTTTCAATATTGTAGAAGAGAAAGTTTGTTTGATGCATATTAATTGAGTCTATATGCCAGATGACCACTTGGTATATTAGTTTATTATGTGTTCTATAATAAAATGTTTTTAACAGAAATGGACTTTTAGTCTTGCATTATGATCTTGGATTCATTGCCATCTGCTGTATGTAGATATAAGATCTGTTATTGAGAATGTTTAGATCACATGGATTCTCAAGTTCATTTGTTGCACAATATGCAAAATTTGTGTTCCTAACCCACAGCTCTGGGCCAAGGGTGGGCTTCTAGGGGAAAGCTCCTATACACAGAACAGCAGCCTTTGTAGACAAATGCTAGTGTGGATCCATTCCACAACATGCCCTACTGGCCTCTAGGAGTAGCAGTCAGTTGTTTATATCCTGTTACCTTAAAAGCAGTGGCTTTTGCTTCTTTGGCCCATTCTCCATGGTCTGGTCATGTGTCATATATCACAATCATAAGGTTTTTATGACAGACACACTTTTTTCGTTTTACGGAACTTTAGATTTTGTAAGGTGTGCAGGCAAGGACTTTCATAGACTTGATTTTGTGCAAGTAGGCCATTATAATTTAAATGCTACACTTACCATTCTAAAAGTGAAGTTACCCTTTAAGGTTTTTTTCAATATAAAAAAAAAAAGGTTTCATGTTGGTCAGGAGACTTGTTAAAATTAACCATAATAATGCAGTCTGATCTTCCTCTTAATTATGAAGTCTGTTTATACAGATTAATATATGGATTAATATACTTCATATAGCTTTTATTATTTTTGCTGTAGGAGGAACATAGAGTTCTCTACGTTGGTAAAATGAGAACGAACATGACCCGTAGTGAACTGCGAGCCCGTTTTGAAGTTTTTGGTGAAATTGAAGAATGTACAGTCAATCTGCGGGATGACGGGTAAGTCTGCAATGATTATTTTAAATGAGAACATTTTGAAGATAATCAACAGCCAGTTACCGACAGTATAAAATGTTCACCTTTACATACTGGGGTGGAACCACAGCCAAGAACATTGTGGTAGGTAGAGCCATTTTGGAAAGCATAACAAATGTTTAATCATCTACACCACCCTCATTCTACAGTAATGCAGATATTCTCCAGATTGAGTCCTGATCCATACCGATCCCTTCACTCAAGTATAATTTAAATATGTTAGCTGTTCTTTTTTTTATCAGTCCCCTTGTCTTCAGGTTGTGCAACCTCAATCCCTCAGAGCTTTTCTGAAATGTGCCAAAACAACCAGTCATTGATAATGAAAATGGTTGTTTTTAAAGCTAGTTTACTTGTTACATAGGCAGGCAGTTTGTCTGCAAATAATGAAATTTTGGCCATCTTGGCCCCTTTGTTGTTTGATTTCTTGCTTTATACTTAAAAGTAAAGGGAACCATGGTTGCCACCCAAGCTGGACTTCACACGTGTCTTTCCCTAGTCATCTAAATTACATGGAGGTAAAGAGATTAGTAGTTTTATAGAAGGAAGATAACACTGCATTTTCAATTCAGCTTACAGCAAGTGACAGACACTGCATTTCTGGCAAGATCAACAGATATTTTCTGTACTTGCAGAAAATGTTCTGTCTGAAAAATAAAAACTAATGCAGCCAACACAGCTAAGGACTGGTAAGCTGAAAAATATTACATGTTTGTTTTTGGGCTTGGATATCATTTAAAGAGAAGTCAGATGCAGAGCTGTATGTACCATACAACAGGAAACAGGGTTAAAGTGGTCAGACCCATTTCATAAAATGTGCAAATTGTAATAATGTTTATCCCTCTTCTGGTCATCTCTGGACATCTGTGGCTAAATTCAGTAAAAAAAAGCTATAGAGGAAGGGGGTAGAGGGGATTTTGAGATAAGTCAGAAGGCTCTTTACGGTTTAGGAAACCATCTTTGCTTTCTCTTTGCGCCATACAGCTGGAAAGTAGTTTTGAATATAAAGCAGAATGTCTTCTGCCTCTGACAACACATTTAGGCCACAATATTTACTAAAAACAATCACATGACACAAGGGGTGGAGATTGTACCAAAAGGTATCATTATTCAAATGTACCTATAGAACCATGATGACTAAAGAGGGCATTGCTTATAATGTATGACATGCAATAATTCTTAGCAACAAATCACTTGATATTTCACTCTAGTAAGGTCAGTTAATTAATTTTGCCCTTTGTGGGTTTTGACTTTGTTACATACAGTATTTCCTTTCTTCATTTAGAGACTGTTACGGTTTCATCACCTACCGCTACACCTGTGACGCATTTGCTGCTCTTGAAAATGGATACACTCTGCGCAGGTCAAATGAACACGACTTTGAGCTATGCTTTTGCGAACGAAAGCAGTTTTGCAAGTCCAACTATGCAGATTTAGGTACGAATCCCTGATTGTCAATAATGGCCTTATTTGATCAGCAATGCATTGAGAAAACAGCATTAGCCCATATCATTCAATCAGAATTCTTTTTGTCTGAGGATGACCAATATAAGGTGGTTGCTTTTTGCTTGCTCTTAGTACATCACTGCTCCCTACACTGTTACATAAAAAATCTGCATAAATACTTGTGTTCTGTATGATGTTGTTGAGGTACATTGCTGCATTGTAGCTTCTCCTTCAAATTTTATTGGATGTCCTAAAATATATTGTCGAAAGTTGTTATTGAAGGTAAATGATTTAAACATTTTGAAGCACAGTATTTGCCCTCTCGGGAATGTGTACAATTCTGGTCATGAACATATGGTGTAGTTTGGACATCCTTGTCAAGCCATTATATGTGATTGGGGGCACTGACAGTAAAGGGCATGTGCTTGTTTTTTGGAGGGCAGGCTATAAAGGCAGTCCATCCTCCATGTGATTTTGCAATTGTTCTCAAGGTGGACCTCTGTGCTGAGAACTGGACCCGTCTGAGGTCCGTATATATATTGTGTTTTTGATTAATACCTTTGGGAAGGTTGCAAACTTTTCAATTCAAAATCCTTTTGGTGATCATTTATAAAGCTACTGTATATGCAGAAATGTCTAAAATACATTTAGAGTAGAGAAGTGGTCTCCAAACAGTGGCCTTTTGCTTGCCTTTATCCAGCACTTGAGATATTATCCTTGCCTCTGACACCATCAATGGGGCATAATTCCTGCCACTGACAATGATGGGACATAATTCCTCCCATTGACACCAACTATTGACCACTATTTCTCCCCCAATACCAAAGATGGAGCATTATTTACTCCCACTGGGCACAGTCCAGCCCCCTAAAGTCTTATGCACAGTAAACTGACCCTTTGTTTAGAAGGTTTGGAGACCCTGGAGTAGAGAATGGTGTCCCATTGGTCATATTTCCCTTTACTTCCTGTCCTATAGTCCTAAGAAGAAGTGAGAGGATATCTCTCTGAAGTGAGGGAAATCCCCACTTAGTTGACACTGAGACAGATGATTGAAAAATGCCCCTTCTTCTCTTATTTTAGTAGCAACTCAACATTATTTTATTTTATTTCTTCCATTTTCAGTCCCAGGAAAGAATCTCAAAACTAGAGAAAAAGACAGCAATAAAAACTGACAGGTGGCCTAACCCCTCACCACTTTATCCAGAACTTAAAACAAGGTTTGGTTTTAGATGCACTTCATTTATTTCTTTTTTGGTACATGAGCGCAGTTAAAGGTGGCCACAATATTTGTCCAATATAACAAAACGTAGATTGCAGCATTCTTTATGATGATATAATTTAAGATTGAACTGGTGGTACTGGGTCTAGTGGTAAGCACTAAGCCAGGGGTCTGCAACCTTTAAGACATAAAGAGCCACTTGGACCCGTTTCCGAAGGAGAAAAAAAGACTGGGAGCCGCAAAACCATTGCAACATTTAAAACAAATCCGACACTGCATATATTGCAAAAAGCGCTCTGGTCATGAAGGGGGTTTAAGGGCCCAGTAAGCAAAGGGTTAATCAGGGCCACAGTGTATCGTCATAATCACAATCATAGCCTTAGGTCAGTGGTGGGCAACCTTTTTTTTCAACTGAGCCAAATCTCGCCAAAACCACGATTGAAATTTATTTTGAGAGACACATTTTTAAAACTGAAAATACATCCCCCATATAGTAATTCATCCCCCATATAGTAATTCATCCCCCATAGTAATTCATCCCTCATAGTAATTCATCCCCCATATAGTAATTCATCCCCCATAGTAATTCATCCCCCATATAGTAATTCATCCCCCATAGTAATTCATCCCCCGTAGTAATTCATCCCCCATATAGTAATTCATCCCCCATATAGTAATTCATCCCCCATAGTAATTCATCCCCCACATAGTAATTCATCCCCCACATAGTAATTCATCCCCCATAGTAATTCATCCCCCATATAGTAATTCATCCCCCATAGTAATTCATCCCCCCCATATAGTAATTCATCCCCCATATAGTAATTCATCCCCCGTAGTAATTCATCCCCCATAGTAATTAATCCCCCATATAGTAATTCATCCCCCATAGTAATTCATCCCCCGTAGTAATTCATCCCCCATAGTAATTCATCCCCCATATAGTAATTCATCCCCCATAGTAATTAATCCCCCATATAGTAATTCATCCCCCATATAGTAATTCATCCCCCATAGTAATTAATCCCCCATATAGTAATTCATCCCCCATAGTAATTAATCCCCCATATAGTAATTCATCCCCCATAGTAATTCATCCCCCGTATAGTAATTCATCCCCCATATAGTAATTCATCCCCCGTATAGTAATTCATCCCCCATATAGTAATTCATCCCCCGTATAGTAATTCATCCCCCATATAGTAATTCATCCCCCATATAGTAAGTCCCCCCTGTGTCAATTCACTTACCTTTGCTCCGCGCGTTCCTCTCGCTGTGTTCCCGCGCCGTTCGGGTCTTCAGGGCGGACTGTGAGAGGAGAGGAGTTTGTCACGCTGCCCCGCCTACATCCTGACAGCCAATGTTTGGAGGAGGGAGGGGAGCGGGCGCCCGGCACACAGAAGAGCCGCATTAAACTGTGTAAATAGCCGTGGCTTGCCGACCACTGAGCTACGGCAACCCTGTTGCCTGTCACCTGGTGGGCAGTGTGCTCCGGAGCCGCAGCAAAGTTGAAAAAGAGCCACATGCGGCTCTGGAGCCGCGGTTTGCCGACACCCGCACTAAGCAATGCATGTTGAATGGTTTTAAATACACGTTAATATTGTTTCCCAAATCAATTTTTCCATAAGTCACGTTGGGCTTAGTGCAGCTGCCAATGATACAAGTGGAGGGAAAGTTTATGGAGCAGTCATCTGGATTCTATAGCAGCTAAAAGAGTAATATGTATACTAACCAATGACATGTGAGTAGCCAAAGAGCTATTTGACTCAACCATATTACATTCTTGCCACATCCCTTGTGCAGGTCAATGGCCTTCTGGGATTGAGGACAAGCAAAAGAAATGTCAGATAAAAGCAAAGGAATAAATGTGCTTTCTGAAAGACACAAACCTGCTGAAACCCATATCTTGCTATTTTTATATGTGCTGCATCAGTTTTATTTACCTGTATTCTTTTTTTCGATACATTGTATCTTTGTGTAAAGCCTCTTTTCCTCATTGAGAGCTCAGCCGTGCATGCAGTACAAGATTTATTTTCTGTTTACTTGTTGTTGGATTGAAATAGAAGCAGCATGGCGGGCTCTCAGGGTCTACCTTATTTAACACCTCCATAATGTAGAGGAGCTTAGAGCTGGAGAGTAAACACAGCTGTTTGAATAACAGGACTCTGGTTAGTTGGCTTTAATCAACTCAAACAAAATAACGATGCCCAGGAGAGACATGGGAAAATAAAGGAAATGCCAGTGCAAGTATATTGTTATTTATTTAGTATTTACGTGACTGTTCCACATTTAGAGCTGTTCATTTCATTGCATTTATTTTTTTTTCACGTTTCTGTTATTTAATTTAGAGGATTAGGTAGCTCAGAAGTTTGATTTATGTATTCAACTTAATTTACCAAAGGAGTAGAGACTGTTCACTTTGCAAAATGAATGTTCAGCTTAGCTCAGTAATAAGAAGAATCTGTGTTCACCTCAAGCATTCAATCATGTGCAAGGGAAAAATTGCTTTATGTTATTATCCTTGCCCTTGATTTGGGTATTAAAAAATGAAACAGTTTCACCTTATTTACTAAGCTAAGTGACTATTCTTTGCTCTTTTAGTAAATCAACCATACTGAGTTACTGTGACACAGGAACCTTTTTTTGGAGGCAGCAGTTTAAGTGATAATGTCAGCTTGGCTGGAAAATGTTGGGTCTGGCATTTCATTCTTCACAGTGGAGAAATGTTATTAGTTTGATAACAAATCACTGATAAAGGCAAAGCAGAGGTAAAATCACAGTCCTGGGCAGCAGTTGTTTGATGCAATGTTTGTGTTTTATTGAGGGAAATGGGGAAAGATGGGGTAGTCTATCACAGCTGGACTACTAGCATTCTCAGAGGAGGAATCAGCAATGGCAGCCTCCATGTATCTGTCATGACAGATTTCTTTTAAAGAGATAAAGCAGGATACCTGTGTTAGAGGATTCAGATGGAAGCTGTCGTTGCTTCTTTCTGAGTCCCACATTTGAATTTGTTGCTTGCACATTGGTGTGTACCTTCACATTTTTGTTGGGTACGTTGTTATTATTATTATTATTATTACTACTATTATTATCTTTATTAACCCCTTATGATGTCATGGAAGTGGTGAAATTAGTTTTTTTTTTTGTTTTTTTCCTTGGGGCATGTGTCACTTTTTTTGGTCTAGTAAATGAATGCTTTGCTCCTAAAACACAAAATTATGGTAAGGGACAGTAAAGGGACAGAGTTGCAGGGTCCTCAATCGATCTAATTTCCTTGCATACCTATAGATTATGGCAAGTGTTTTGAGAGAAAGATAATGTCATATTGCAACAAAAGGCATTGAAAGTAAACTACGAGATAAAAGAAATGTGTCTGTATTTCTCTTTACCCCTTTTTTCTCCCCTCTTTTCTTCTCCTTGCCTCCGACTACCTTTTCCACAGCTTTCTCTTTTTTGTCCCCATCCCCCGAACCCTTCTACCAATCATGTCATTGCTCTCATTTTTAACCGTTGGCTTCTCATCTACCTGTGCTACTAACTGTAACTACAAAACCTATCCTAACACTGTCGATACTACTCTGTGAGTTCGGATACATGGTTAGATTTAATAAAATGGGAGCACTCGGAATCTGGTGCAGCTCAGCATTGTAGCCAATCAGCTTCTAACTTCAGCTTATTCAATAAAGCTTTGGCAAAAAAACATTGAAAGCTGATTGATTTCTATGCACCAATTGCACTCTCTAGTTTTAGTAAATAACCCCAACTGTCTATTGAAGTTAATTCCCAAGCCATATTTTTTTTTTTACCACCTCCCATGAAAAGAATGTTACCACACTGACTTTTCTTTAGAACTCCAGTTGTCAAAGCTAAATATGAATTGTTTTTAACTGTAATCCAAGGTCCTTTGATTAAAAAAAAAAATCACTTATTTCTAATTCAAATCAGTAAAGAACATGGTAAAAGAAGGACTATGGAGGGCAGGTGATCCCAATTTGTTACCCTTTATGTTTCTCTTTGCAAGTTTCAAACAGATTAGGGCTGGGTGGAGAGAATGTTTTGGTATATAGAAGTATGAGTAGAGTCACAGGATCAATGTGGTTTTTGAAGCTGAAATAAAACTTAACTTTCATTAGTTAGACATTTGTGTGCATGCAGCAGATCTCATTGATAGAATTAATTAGATGATTCCCCTTATACTTTCAAGACGTTTCATATGATGTTTCTGAGTTTTAGGGGAGTAAAACTGAACCTGCAAGTGATGTTACTGTTTTGAAACTTGTATACATCTTAATACAGGTATTTCGCTTTGGGACAGATCCCCTTTCATAGCATAAACACTATTTACCCTTTCCCTTGCTCAGAAAATTCTTAAAAAAAAATCAGACATTACTGCTACATCCTGCTAAGGGCCAGGCAGTATTTTCCAGCAGGGACCTCTGCGTCCATACAGATGCCACCTATGGAAATTAAAAACATTCACTAAGTAGAGGGGTGGGTAGATTGTTAGTTTTTCAGGATGGTTCATGTTAAGCATTTAGGGTCCTTGTCTCTGGTGTGGCCAGCATTCCCCCCTTACAGCTCTGGATCTAGTAAGTGATCACAAGCTTCTGAAACAAATATTTTGGTTCTTCACAGATTCCATCAAGGCCTCCTTTACACCTTCAATAACACATGATTTTTAATGTTTTTACCATTCATTTTTGTTTTACTTATTAATTTTTTTTCTCTCTTTAGATTCAAATTCAGATGACTTCGATCCTGCTTCCACCAAAAGCAAGTATGACTCAATGGATTTTGACAGTTTGCTTAAAGAGGCACAAAGGAGCCTGCGTAGGTAACATGCATGTCTGCCACACCCAATGGAATGATGGAGAATACCTCACAGACTTCTTGTCCTCCAATAAGAGACTCTTGAAAGTCAACCCTAGGAATTTCTCCTACTTTACACTCTCCATTTCTCAATGGTTTACATGAACACAGCTGCTGAAGACTAAAGAGGCAATGTGATTGTCAGACAAACACACATACCTATATGGGTGTCAGATAATTCCTCACTCTTCATGGATGTCACAATTGTACTGCTCGAACAGAGACGGTATGCTTCTCATTAGAAGCAAAAGTGCCAGCCATCTGCTAAAGCTCCTCAAATTCATTTAGGGAAAAACTGATTCATTTGGAGTAAATAAATCAAGGAATCGCTATGTATTGTAATGAAAGAGAAGGAATTTTCCAAGAAAATCGGAGGAATCGTATGCTGCTGATGCTCAACCCCAATGCAATCTTCACTTCTGTCTGATTTCAATCATTGTCCTGATGAAAAAAAAAACAAAAAAAACAACAAAAATATTGCAATATAGATGACGCCTTAGTAACTTTTTTTTATTGGGAAAACTGGTGAAGAAATCAAGGAAGCAGATTTTTTGTAGTATCCGCAAGTCTCTGTATTTCTGTCTTTTACTTCAGTCTTTTGGTTCTGACACCCGTGCAATTTACATCGATGTTGCTGCTCAACATCAGAAGCCTTGTAAATGGTCAAATTCACAGCTTGTTCAGCAATGTGTATTATATATATATTTATATATTTATATATATATATATATATATATATATATATATATAAATATATATATTTATTATATACACTATTTTCTGATGAGTGGATGTGGTGTTACATAATAAACTGAGTTGAGTGAAACTTTCTGAAATTGTGTCCAGGTAGTTTGTACCATTGTAATATGTACTAGTCAAGTATTTACAGATGTCACCCGTTATTCTGCCAGAGAAGGGAGAACAAGCCCGCTCTGCCTTGCCCCCATCCCCGGCAGAGGAGCGGTTTGACTGAGTATTTTTATTTCATGTACATAGAGTATGACAATGTCCTTTATTTGTTACCGCTATGCACTGTAAATGCAGCCTTCTTTTAAATATGGAAATTGTTTTTTCTTAAAAAAAAAAAAAAAAATCAAAGATATTCAAAAATGTAAACTGTACAAAGTGAAATACCAGTTGTATACTAATATATTTAGGAGCTGACTTTATGCTTATATATATTTGATTGTAAAAACGAACAAAAAATTACAGTGTGTGTGTGCGCGTTTATTTTATTTTTGGTTGGGTGCACAATTATTGCTTTAAGCACACTCTTTTCTGGTGAGCTTCCATTTTTGTGTTTGAAAAACAATTTTATTGGCCTTAAAGGCTTGATTGATATGGATATCATGTTGCTTTGTCTCCTTTATTATGCGTGTTCTATAAAAGTGGTGAAAAAGAAAGTAGAGGTGTTGCCTATAGCTGTCATAATTTTATTATTTGTTAATTAAACTAAGCTTCTAAATGACAGCTTTGAAACAGTTTGGTTGATTGCCCAACGTCTCCTCTTTTCTTTTTCCCCGCTGTTGTAGAATGTCTTCATTTGCAGTAATACCTGCTCAGTAAATCCACCTCAAGATTTGCCATATAGGAGGTCTTTTCTGTACTAATTACTGTTTTTTGTTTTTTTTTTTAATTATTTGTATTATTGTGAATCAAGAATGAATGTATGGTGTGATTGTTTTCACTAAAGGCCATTGTGCTTCTTTAATTTTCTGGAAAAAAACAAGCTGCTGGGTAACTCAGCACTGTATACCTTGTGTGATAGGGTTTTTTGTCTAAACACTGTTTAAAAAGCCAGTCATTTTTTTTCTTTGTCGGCACTGTTGGAATATTTGGCATAAGCCAAATTTTTACTGTTGTGCATCCTTTGCAAAGTACTGATATTTCATTCCGTTGTTTACTGAAGAACTATATATCAGTGAATGCTATTGTATTTGTGATGGTAATATGCTGATTACTCAAGAGACGGCCAGTTGAAAAGGATGCTAACACTCTCTTAGTACTGTCATATGCTGCAGTGGAAATGAGTCTCCTGTTGCAAGATAGCGTTGACTATGCATTAGTGTGGTGCCAGCTATGGGGTTGTGCTGCTAATCCTTTAATGACTTATCTTTGTACGGCCTATACAAACTACACTAAGTTTAAATTCCATATAAACAAACTGTTTGACATTTATTCCCATCAATTTAGCAAGGTAGACAAAATTTGAGTTCGGCTTTGTGCAATACATCGGGGCTTGAATATATTAAGCTGAATAAAAAAGGAAAATTGGATGCGTAGCTTGCAGCAGCCAATGGGTTCCAGCTGCCATTTTTCTAGTGTGCTGAACCCTGATTAGCTGATAAGAGCAATGCAGACAGTTTCCTTGCCTACAGCATTCATGCCCAAAGCCCAGTGGTTTGCAAATGCAAGTGGAAATAATGGCAAGAGCCATTTTGTTCAAAACCCACTGACTCGTAGTTGACTGAACTCTACACTTCATGCGTGGTGTGTGTAACAAAATATTTTTTCACAGATGTTAATCAGTTGCAGTTTTTGCAGAAATTTGTAAAACTCTTTTGGAGAAAACTGTTGATATTAATAAACGATTTGAAGACTATGTTTTTAGGAACAGTTGGTGAATGTACACAAACAAAAACAATGTATCTGTTTTTTGCAAGATTCCGTATATTCTGTACTCTAACCAATTTCAGAAGAAGGTTTTAGGAAAAGCCATTTGCATCAGGATTTCAGGACTCCGGTTATTGCTGCTGTTCTTAGTCGGCAGAGCTGAAATGCAGCAGGGACCAGAGTGCCAAAGATTCCTTGACAATGTTTTTTTTTCACTACTTCTCACATAAAAGTTCTATTCAGACATGGTTCAGTATCATTGGGGTCACCTAGTCATATTTAATATAATCATTTTTTTTTTAAAGTTTGCCTCTTATTTCCATTTCTGTTTCAGAAATGAAGGAGAGGGGGGAGAGTAAGACATGCTTAGAGCCTACTGATCTTCATGACATGACGTAATCACAAAGCGCTCAGCTGTGAATAGTAGTTTGAGGAATGTCCAGCTTAGATCCACCTCTTCTTCCATCTCTGCATGGAAGAAGCTGTCAGTGCACAGAGATCAATAATCTCTATACAAGTCCTATTCTGTTATTTGTCTCAGCTCCATTTATGAAACAGGGACATAAAGGAAAGCCACAAAGGCCTTACTGTTAAGTCACAGACCCATTTTGGATATGCTGCTCTTTTTCTTGTTCTACTTTTGAGCAAGTTTGCACAACATTTGCAGAATTTATGAAAATGTTAAGAACCTCCATTGGTAAAATACAGCTTGCAATTATGCCCGTGCATATTACCTTATACTGTAAATGCAGCACTAGATTAATACATTGCTAAGGTCCTCCTATTTTTTTAAGCTACAAGGAGAGACAGGGTAAATGTGATAGACGTCTCCACTTTTCTTGTGTCATAGTGTCATAGAGCTTTTCCCCTTGTGCACAAGCCTTGATTTTGGCAGTTGGTGTCATCAGCCTTTGCTCCAGCTAGGTGCAGCTCCAGCTAGACACCCGTCTAGCCATCATAGACAATGAAATACCAATATTTTTGATATTACAAGCTACATAGATATCACACTAGACACCGTAGAAATCACAATAGACATGCTGAGTGCCAGATATTCCCTCAACAAAAATATGCTCGTTGTGAATCTGTTATATTGACTCCATTTATTGTTATGTCATTGTCATTTTCTTTGAAAAAAAATATTAATGTAAAACATAATTATAGCATAGGTGTGGAATCTTTATTTTTTTTTTTTTAATGGGTATTAAACTGGTGAAGCATTATTTTCTCATGAATTATCACTATCTTACAAAGTGTCATTTCATCACCATCTTTTCTTACTCTTAGTGGACACCTCACAGTTATCGCCAGCTTTTAGCAAGCGGTACTTTAAGGAGCTATAACCCATATGGTCATTTTTGTTCATTGATTTTTACAGTCAAGATACCTCAAAAATATATAAAATAATGTATGTGTAAATTCAGCTGATCTGTTGCAGTAACACCTTTACTTACTAAAAAAGAAAAAGCAGACAACACACATGATGAAAATTTAGCATGCATTATGCTATCGTGAACTGAGTGTAATGAGCTTCATTTCTAAAAAGCCTGAAAAAGTGATTATGTTGCCTTTTAGCAACCGATAAAAATCCATGTGTCCTTTTTCAGGGGCAGAAAATGAAAAAATTGGTTGTTGTCAAAGGAAACATTTTCCTTTGTCTAGTTTTAATAAAGTAGTCCCGATAATCTTTAAGACCTGAAGGAAAATTGCTAAATATTTAAATTTATGACATGGGGAGGTGGATGCACATTTATCAGCTATTTTTATTCCCCTTTATATGTAGAAGGTACTTTAATAAAGGATGTACTTTTAAAACTAGCCCCACAGATCTGTATTGGCTTTGAACACTAAATCATGTTAAGAAAGAATTTCAATAAAGGATAAGTTAATAATCCGTTTAAATGCATAGCATGAACACAGGATAGGTTACTTGATGTAATAGAGACGTTCTTTAGTAAATCACTCCACAGACTGTAAGATGCATATGTTGGTATTCAGTTCAATCCAAGAGGCAAAAGGGAAAAATGCCATTGTAAAGCAACCCAGCCTTATACAATTATATCTGTTCATCACCAGCATTTTTTGTTCTCAAAATTGTCACAGTCTCTAATGCCAGAAGCCCCCCCATTTCAAAGTAGATATATAGCAATAAATCAACATATTAAAAGAACACACCTTGTCTTTCCACGGGTTCCCTGTTACACTATTAACAGCTTTAATCCGTGTATTGGTTGTATTTATGTAGGTTACAAAAATGCAGGTATTTTATCTTGTTTAATTATGTGATCGCCAAACTAAAGTTTACAGATTTTTTTCTTTCTCAATTTTTCTGTTGTACAAAAAAATTTAAAAAAGT